CGCATACCTAATATCAATAGTAAATTATTTAATATAATATTCACTAATATATCCCTCTCTATAGTAAACAGTGATCACTGATCACTTTTGCTGTGCAACTGGCCTTTTCTTATGGAGAAGTTGCACTGTATATGGTGTTAATAAATTGGCAAAAATTATTGTTAATTAATAATACCTATTATTTTTATACAGCATTTGAATTAAACTCGTTGATCGCAGTCATAAAGAAATGGCATATAATTGAAATAAATGAGTTGTTATATGTCTGGCATCATTCAAATGGGGCGGATCCTGATTGCCTCCCCTTGGAGTTTACTAACAACATGGATGGAAAACTATCTTTAATCTATACATATTTTAGACATGTGCCCACAAACTACGAGGTAAGAGTGTCGTCGTCGGTATCGCGATATCGATACCCACACTCAGTGCCGCGAGTATTGTATCGAAACACCGACACTGCATTTCAAATCACTAATTGTCATTCTGCTAATTTTATAAACCTTTAATTTTATTCAAATTGTTAATTACGTTTTTTACATGTATGTTTTAATTACGTTTTTTTGTACTTTATATAAACAAAAAATATAATCTCTATAAAAAAGCATAAACACATAAGAATATTACTCTTAAAACTTAGCATTGACTACGTTAAACCTACGTTATGTCATAGAATTAAGCTGCAATCCCTTTGAAAGGCATGTTAAACCTATGAATATCTTTACACGTTACATTATAGCCATATGATTCGCATTAAATTCAATATTATTTAACATAAGGTGGGAATGTAAAGAGAAGTTACAGGTAGTGGAAGGGAGATTTTATAAACCACAATTAAAAATAATTCCTAAATGATGGGTATAATAATAGCAACAAATTAAAAATGCTTGAATATTCTGCAGTATAATTATGTAATATCAGGTATTGCACGACAACGGTGTAGATCTTCAACATTTTACATACGTACATGGCAACTTACTACGCAATGTGCTTACATTGAACTACGCGTTTGATCTGGATTATGGACGCGAACAATCTCCAGTTATTACAGGAACAATCACATTAAAATTACTTGGTATCAAATTGTTGGAAATGCGCATAATGTCGCGAAAAGAATCACCCGTACAGGAAGTGGTATCGTTTGGCAACGTCCACGTTATGGCAGTGACTATACCTGAGATGCATAATCGTACGCTGATCATGATCGGTCTTTACGGACATCGCACTGTATTTAGCATGATATATTTCAAAATATTCCTGTTGTTTTTAATTAATCAGGTTTGTGTGTTATTTGATTGTTAATAACAAAAATTCGTTTATAACTACTGTAGCTTAAAGATATACATGTATATTTAATAAGTTGTTGTTAATTTATTTTGTTGAGGTCCCAGGGTTTGTATAGCAGACAATAGTAGACATTGAATCTACCGATTGCGCCATATGTTGGGATTAGGTGGCCAGTGACCGGGAACGGGGCAGTTGCACCGGTAGTACAACTGTACGCCCCGACACT